CCACTATCATGATCTTTGTCTTTGATATGTTTAATTGCAGACATTGTTTAATTGAATTTGCAAGAAGGGCTGTGTCATCTGCGAAACGTAGGTTATTTAGTTTATGACCATTTATTGAGATGCCCTTTTCCCATCCTTCAAGTGCTCTTCGCATAATATACTCCCCATATATGTTGAATAATTGTGGAGATATGTTATATCAATTGCTCAACCAATGGATAAAGGTATTATTGAAACAATGAAATGCCTCTACCGAAGATAATGTATGATAAACTTGAATTAAATAAAAAGAGCTTTTTACAAAATAATTCGCTAGAGAAAGTTGAAAGCATCATGGAGTATGATGATAAAGAAATAATAAAACCGAGGTTGAGACGTGGACGATGATCACTACACTCCCTCCAGGAAGTCAGGACGAAAAAGAGACAGCTACTTAAGATACATAACCGCTTTATATGAATGTCGGTCAGATAGGTAAATGCTTTAGTATGGGTGTGTTCGAACCCTGGTCTGACATATAGAAAAATAAAAAGGCCAATGTATTCGTTTAAAATTCGAAATGTATCTGCAACTTAGACTAGAATACAATGGTGTCTAATCAGCTTATGGTAAAGCAGTACGGCAAGAGATAAGGACTTGTGGTTTGGTGATACTCGTAGATCTCTACCGGAATTTGGCCAATGACCGAAATTTATACCCAAAACGCGTTGCGAATTTCATTTATTTCTCACATCGCGTTTCGGGTATTTTTGACATACACAGAACGCGTTGTGGATAAATTACAATCCAATATAATGCGAAACTATGAACACCGTCAGAAACACACGACGAATTTCGCTTTATTGCCAACATAAATACGTACAAAGGAAAAACAGAAATTGCATATACTCTTTGAATATAGTAGCATTTTTATTTGTAAAATAGACTAAATTAAAAAAAGTTGAAAGTTGAAATACTTTTTTAAATATCCGCCATCTTAAAAACTAAAATTTTCTCTTGTTAAAATCTGAATCTGGCCTAACGGTATCAAGAGGACGCAAAAACAACTCTCTTGGTACATGCAGATTCCAATTTCGTTGAAAAATAATGAACATGAATCTTTTATTTCCGCCGTGCTCTCGAATTTATTAGAAAAACTAACGAAATGCGCGTCGCTACTCTCACATCAAAGTAAAAACTTTGTGTACTCCAGTAAATTGATATCAAATAACGTTGGTTCTTTTCTTTGTATTTTGAGTCACATGTTGTTAGTGTGCCTTCGGTTCAATTTGGATTATAATGAGATCCGTTTTTTGGTTTAGGGTTTATGTCGAACTCGGTATATACTGGATTGAATTTCTTTACAAAAATATATACCTTTACCTTACATTTAATTTTACGAAGAACGTAAATATATAGTAAAGATATCTTTATATGTATATAGATTTTAAAATTGTTTTGCTCTTTTACTTATTTTCATTATTATTGTTAACATATTCGTAAAATCATGAATGTGTTGCTTGTGTGAGTCCATTTCAAATAGGCAAAATAAATAATAAATAAGAATTACTCACAATCAGTTTAATTTAACTATCTAGACGACCGGTTTCGCTTTCTACAATATGCAAAGCATCTTCAGGTCTGTTGATACAAAGTTAATTAAATGCTGAAATAATAAAACCCATATTAGGGTATTAGGGTGTCTTATAAAGATAAACAAAAGATAAATAATATAAATTACAGTAATTATACCAATATTACATGTCTGTGTGTTTTTTTAAAATGAATAAACTGTTTAAGCAGACAAAGTAATACCCACAAATTGGTATAAAAATAGTCTATTGAATTAGTAAATAAACAAAACATTACTTACATGCCGGTACACTATTAATTAATGGTGAGGAGAACATTAATGGTGGGGCGAGATAATGGATATGATGGACAAAAGACGTAAATTCAAGAATAAAAATGCAGAAAAATACCAGCAGATCCACAAAACCATAAGAACGAAAAGAGAAGCCAAAGAAAAATGGTTTTCCAACGAATGCAGGGAAATAGAACAATACGAACGAAAATACGACAGTTACAATATGCACAAAAAAATAAAATCGATGACAAACAAGAGGAAATTCAATAAGTCATCCAACAGCATAAAAGATAGCGATGGAAATCTTATCTCGGAGCCATCAACGATCTTAAAAATATGAAAATCATACATAGAAAAATTATTTGCATCTGACAGGACTGATGATCACCTATATGGAGAAGGAGAAACAGGTCATTCAATCCTTAAATCGGAGATAGAAGATGCTATTGCAGCACTAAAAAACAATAAGTCAGCAGGTCCGGACAATGTACCCTGCGAAATATTAAAGATTCTATGTAAATCAGACAAACAGTTCCTTGATGATCTAGTTGTACTTTTTAACAACATATATAATAGCGGTAAAATCCCGGAGAACTGGCTACAGTCAACATTTATTACAATCCCGAAGAAACCAAATGCCCAGATTTGTGATGACTACCGGCTTATAAGCTTGATCAATCATGTCACTAAAGCGTTCACTAAGATCATTCATAGAAGAATATATGATAAATGTGAGTCAAATATTGATAGATCGCAGTTTGGTTTTCGGAAAGCACTTGGAACTAGAGAAGCAATTTTCGCTCTCCAAGTGCTTATACAGCGGTGTAGAGACGTTGATAAGGACGTGTATTTGTGCTTTGTAGATTTTAGAAAAGCATTTGACAATGTCAATCATGAACAATTGATAGTTATTCTGCGAAAGACAGGTATTGACGACAAGGACATTCGAATTGTGACAAACCTATACTGGAATCAAACAGCAAGAGCAAAAATTGGCAACGAACTTACTGAAAGCGTGCAGATCAAAAGAGGTGTCCGTCAGGGGTGTATATTATCCCCACTCCTATTCAATATGTATTCCGAGGAAATATTTAACAAATGTATGGAAAATGCAAATGAGGGCATAAAAATAAACGGCGTGTTAACGAACAATATAAGATATGCCGACGACACGGTGATCCTTGCCAGTACCATAGACGAATTACAACAAGTAATGGAAAGACTTTATTCAGTTAGTGAGGAATACGGCCTGAGCCTCAACTTCAAGAAGACAAAGTGGATGCTGATAAGCAAAAAGCAACAACCTGCTCGACAATTACGGATAAGTAACATACTAATTGATCATGTAGAATCTTATGTGTACCTTGGCACCAACGTAAATGCAAAATGGGAACAGACCATATAAATTAAGGCGAGAATAGAACGAGCTAGAGCAGCATTTAGCAATATGAAAAAGCTCCTCATAAGCAAGGATTTGTCTCTTCCTCTAAAACTACGTCTAGTTAAATGCTACATTTTTCTGATCTTGCTGTATGGCGTGGAGGCCTGGACGCTGACGGAGACGCTAATGAGGAAATTAGAAGCATTCGAAATGTGGGTGTACCGATGCATCCTTCGTATATCCTGGACCGAACATGTCACCAACATAGAGGTACTCCAAAGAATTGTAAAGAAGAAAGAGATCGTGAATACAATTAAACAAAGAAAGCTTGAATATCTAGGCCACATATTGAGACACGATAAGTACCGTCTGCTACAATTGATTGTCCAGGGAAAAATAGACAGTAAGCGAGGACCAGGCAGGAGAAGACACTCGTGGCTCCAAAATCTGCGGAAGTGGTTCGGCCTCACATCGGTCGAACTATTCAGAAGCACCGCAAACAAGATCAAAATTGCCATGTTAATAGCCAACGTTCGCAACGGACAGGCACTTGAAGAAGAAGAAGGGGAGAACATAGTTCAAACTATCCTGTAATTGTTGAATGGAGATCGTCAGTTTTTACTTTTGTAATTGTTTAACAATCAACGGGGAAGTTTCTTGAGGAGATAGATTTTATCCAAAGAAGTAAAAAATAGGTGTAATATGATTGTTAAATAAAAGTGATGTTCTGTATTATTTAATTCTTTAAAAGTTATTTATATTTATTCAAGAGATATGTTTACGAAATGTGTTATTTATTTAAATTTTATTAAGGTGACAGTTGTATGACAATGAATGTACATCTAATTTCATGTTCAGGTCTAGTGAATGAGTACCATATATTTTTGTAAATACTTGGTAGTCTTTAAAAGTATTTTAAAGCAATAGATCGTCTGCGATCGAGTATCTGATAGTCATTCAATATATGGTGGACACAAACTATTGGCGAGCAACGGGTGTGGACTTATAGTAAAACTAATATTAATTTTAACAATTTTTTTGCTTCCTCTATACCATAAGCATTTATATCCTCAACACACCTTTTGAGAGACTCAATTTTGTATCGATTAACGATTTTAACATAAAAATATGCAAAGTTTACATTTTTTACGAATTCACTTATATTTCTTTGATGTTTTTTAAGAACAAAATCACCATATACGTAGTAAAATGTATTTGGATAGTTTTACACCTAACACTAGCCATACTTAAAGCAAACATTTGGTCAAACATTGAAAAGTGAGGTTATGTTTATTGGAATAAAACAACATAGATCTGTTAGTGAAAAAGAGAAACAAAGACGGAGAAAATAGAATATTGCATATTTCATCAGTATATAGTAACATTTGACTTCTGCGCTTGTTTAACTGAAATAAAACAAAATAAAAAATCGACAAAAATGTAACTTTAATTTTAAATCTTAAATTGTAAAAATTGGTGGATGCTATTGCAATTATATTATGATTTTAGGATTCAGCCCACCAAAATACATAAAATAGAGGTAATTTTATCGAAAAAGTTGTTTCATCGTTGCCCTGTACTGTTTTTATGGGAGTGTTTATATTATGTCTTTACTGAGTCACTATCTTATTAATTATTTTTGTATTTACACAGTGGTATCTTTACACAGTGATCATACGGGAATCAAATAAACTGATAAAAATGAACTTTAGTCATTTTTTGCAGACCTATTGTACATTGTAAAACCTATATTTATTAGTTTTTTTCTTTCAGGAGGTTCCTTTAACTTTGTCGTTTCCAAAAGGTTTCGACAAAGGATATCAGTTGGATATCCAAGGAAGAGTGAAAATTTTGCCAGCGAATTTCTTTGTCAATTTGCAAGATGGACCTCAATTGTGGCCACATCCCAACATATATCTTCATTTAAGTCCTCGATTTGGTAAGAATTAAAATTAAAACATTTATTTTAAACCTTACAGATTGCAACAGTGATACCCTTTGTATTATAAAACAATTACATCCTAATATTGTTGAAAATTACTGGAATCTCTAATGGTAAAACCATCCTTAACATGTTTTGATTCTTAATCTTCATACCGTTAAGATATCAAAGGAAACGTTCAATTAATATGTTTCGTATTCAGTATCTAATTGTCACAGTATAAGGACTATTATAAAAAAATCAAAGGTAGTACGTAGTCCCAAAAATATGAAAAACAGATAAAGCTTAATTAGAGCGAATAAAGAAACAGGTATATAATTGCTGATTGCTTAGCCAAAATCTTTAACTTATGCTAGAAAATACTCTACTTACATATTTCGCGTTAGAGGAATGCATGAATTCTTTCTTTCAATTGTCATCGCCCTTAAGATAAAATCTATCTTGCGAAAGTAGATGGAAGCATGCTCTTAATAAACTCACATAGAGTATATAAAACTATATGAAATGACCTTTCTTGTAGACAGTAAAGACTGCATCAGTTGTTCTTTGTAGCGCATGAAACTTGTAGCGCATCCTTTCTATTTAGACTCTTCGGTATTGTGTAGAGCCCAGTGATGGTAGCTAGATTGGGCTGTACAAAATCTGTAAATAATATATGTCGCTGGTTGTTACTAGTTTACTAGTTAGTAACAGACAGTTCCGATGTCCTAAAGAATTATAATGATGCAGCCATTGATATTCCATGGAAAAATGAACTTAATTCAGATTTATGCGCCAACTGCTGACAAAAATTAAGAAGAAATAGAAAACTTTTATAGCGATTTTTAAAAAACATTACATCTCACAGTACCTAGAGATATAACAGTGATCATGGGTGATTTCAATGCAAAAATTGGTGAAAAAAAATGCTACCCTAATATAGGATCATATGGGCTTAGTGAACGAAACGACAGAGATCGTTTAATAGAATTTTGCCAGAAGCATAATGTTGTAGCCGCAATTAAATTTTTTAAATAACCTAAGCGATGTCTTTATACATGGAAATCACCAGGTGACAAAGACCACTAAATCGTCAGAAATCAAATTGACTACATACTAATAAAACACAGATATCGAAACTCAATTTAGGCAGTAAAGGCATATCCAGAAGAAGACGTATTCTCTGATCACAGTCTTTTTATTGCTAAGTTTCAACTTCAACTAAAAAAGATGCAAAAAAACTGCAAAAATACTAAACTTAACATACAGAAATTAAAGTCATAAGAAACAAAAGAAAATCTGAAACACGAAATCAACACAAATCTAGATAGAATCTCAAGAAATAATTGCAACGTAGAGCAGCGGTGGCAATTCTTCAAAACCTCTATATTGGAGCCAAGTAAGAAAGTACTTACAACAACCAAATGTAATAAAAAAAGAAAAGAGTAAATGACCAAGGAAATTCTAGTGTTGATGAATAAAAGGAGAAAAAAAAAACCATCAATAGTATCTGCTATAAACAGCTTCAAAACCAAATAAGAAGAAAAATTAGAGGGGCTAAACTAGGGGGCTTACTACTCTAAAAAATGTAAAGAAATAGAAGAACTGCAAAATAGATATGACAACTTTAATATACATAAAAAAGTCAAAGAACTAGCCGAAGTAGGAAATGGAAGAACCTCAATATATTGTTCTACAAAAATGGAAATACTATATTGGAGAGGGAATAAAAACTACGATGATGGAAAGAGTACATCGAGGAATTATTTTATGACCAGAGAGAAGCTAGTACATCTGTAGATAGCCAAACGGGAGATGTAGGTCCAGAGATAACCAAATTAGAGGTTAGTCAGACATTCAACTCAATGAAAACCAATAAATTTGCTGGTCCTGATGAATTACCAAGCGAGCTATTAAAGTTGGTCAAGTTGAAATAACCTGGACATAATAGTAGAACTGCTAAACGCTATCTATACTACGGGAATCATCCCTAGAGAAATGTTGACATCAGCATAATGTTACATACCTTGAAAATTTTGTTGAAAATTATCCACGCCAGAATTTACTCTAAACTGAAGCTTAATATCAGTGACACACAATATGCATTCTGCAATGGTATGGGTACCAGAGAGGCATTATTTTCTTTCAACGTGCTGACACAGAGATGTTTGGATGTTAACCGTCCTCTTTACGTCTGATTTATAGACTACAATAAAGCGTTTGATAAAGTAAAACATGTCCGACTCATGGAAATTTTAAAAAATCATCTAAGATTCTGGACATCTGAAGAAATGAAAATAAAGAGAGGAGTCAGGCAAGGCTGCATACTATCACCTCTATTATTTAACGCTTATTCTGAAGAGGTAATTCGAGAAACTCTAGAAGATGAAACAGTCGGCATAAGAGTAAATAGAGTCTTAGTCAACAACATCAGATATGCAGATGATACAGTAATAATAGCCGATAGTTTACAATACCTGGAAAGACTCATAAGTAAAATAGTAATGTGTAGTAGGGAGTACGACTCTCACTCAATATCAAAAAGCCGAAGTTTATGAAAATTTGTAAAAACAACCATAATACTAACGAAATCTTGATAGTAGAGGGCCAGCAGATCGAAAGAGTAAAAAAGTACACTTACTTAGGAACATTTATAACAGAAAATAATGAGTAGACTGCAGAAATTAAAGTCAGAATCGAAAAAGCACGTTGTAATTTTATGAAAATGAAAAAGGTCCTATGTGGCAAAGATTTAACATTAGCTCTTAAAGTACGCCTAACAAAATGTTACGTATACAGTGTACTATACTATGGAGTGGAATCATAGACGTTAAATCTAGACACAATGAGACGACTTAACGCCTTTACAATGTGGATCTATAGAAGAATAATGAGGGTTTTCTGGGTAGATAGAGTTATGAACAATACAGTACTGAGAAGAATAGGTGAAGAGGACGAAATTGAACTTACAATTAAAGAAAGAAAGTTACAGTATCTCGGACATGTGATGCGGGGCGAGAAGTATGGCATTCTGCGACTCATAATGCAAGAAAAGATAGATGGCAGAAGCAGCATCGGAAGTAGACGAATTTACTAGAGAACAAATTTTAAACGTACGGCAGATTGTAGAAAAATCCAGAGAATTCAACATCACAACATATTTGTGCTTCATAGATTATAGTAAAGCTTTCGATTTGGTCAACTGGAGTAAAATGTGGCAGGTTTTGTCTGAAATGGGAGTCCCTAATCATCTGATACTGCTAATTAAAAGCCTGTACAATAACAATTATGCCAGAGTTAGAATAAATGGGGAACTAACTGACAGTTTCAGGGTCACAAAGGGCGGGAGACAAGGCTGCATAGTAAGCCCAATTTTATTTAACATCTATGGTAAATGGATAATGCGGAAAGCTACTGAGGACTGGAACGGTGGCATCACCATTGGCGGGAAGAAGATTTGCAACTTGAGATATGCAGATGATACTACTATCCTCGCTAGTTCTGAAACTGAACTTATTCACCTGCTACAACGGATAGAAGACGTAAGCTTAACGATGGGCCTTAAAATAAACAGGGATAAAACGAGAATCATGATAATTGACAGAGCTAACAACAATCAAAATCATCTGGTTAGGATAAACAATATCGCTGTTGTAGATAAATTTGTGTATCTATGCTCATTAATAATCAACAAAGGAGGCTGTACTAAAGAAATAAAGCGGCGGTCAGCAATCGCAAAAAGCGCTATGGCAAAATTAACAAAAATTTGGAAAAGCCATGAAATTACTACCGATACAAAAATGAGACTAGTAAGAAGTCTAGTTTTTCCAGTTTTTACTTATGCATCGGAATGCTGGACCCTTACTGAGAAAGACAAAAAGAACATAGATGTATTTGAGATGTACTGCTGGAGACGAATGCTGAGAATACCATGGGTGGCTCGAAGAACAAATGAATCCATACTGATCCAGCTAAACATAAAGAAAAGACTAAGAACACAAATAACAGAACAGATAATAAGCTATTTTGGACATGTGCTTCGAAGAAATGGTCTTGAAAAACTTACCATCCAGGGAAAAGTAGAAGGCAAAAGAAGTAGAGGTAGATCTCCTACACGATACACGGACCATATTGTTGCTACCATTGACGCTTCATTGTCAGAATGTGCTAGATTGGCAGAAGATAGAAAAACGTGGAGGAACATTGGAAAAATTACCTAACAGCTTCATGATATCACGATACCTGCATCAGGTTAACGACTAAGAAGAAGAAGTCGGTCTGAATAAAGAGAAAGTTTTCGTTTTAATATTTCTAGCCACTGTTGGATCACAGACTCATTAGCCTGATGAGTCACACTTTAAAGATATTCTTAAAAATACTACATCAAAGATTATACAAAAAATGTGAATGGGACATCAGTGATTCCCAGTTTGGGTTAAGGCAAGGTTTAGGAACACGAGAAACAATAGTAGCAACACAGGTGCTGGTCCAAAATTGTTACGATCAGAGGAAGGATGTGTTCCTATGCTTTTTATATTACCAAAAAGTGTTTGATCATGTCCAACACCACAAGTTAATGCAGCTTCTCAAGAAAGTTGATATAGACCAAAAAACATAAGATGCATTCAATACTTGTACTGGCATTAAACGGCACAGTTAAAAATAGACAATTCTATATCCAAACCCATACATATGAGAAGAGGCGTTCGACAGCGATGTGTGCTTTCCCCTCTTTTATTTAACATTTGTTCGGAAGCCATATTTCAAGATTATCTGGAGGATGCAGAGATGGGAATCAAGGTGAATGGAGTATTGATCAACAACATACGATATGCTGATGATGGTGTCTTAATTTGTGACAACATAGTCGATCTTCAAAAACTTGTCACTATAATCGGAGAATACAGTAAGCGAATGGGATTAGAGATTAATACCAAAAAGACCAAATTCATGATCATCTCCAGAAACTTGGATGCACTTGAAAACTCCACCATAGCACTGAATACTAAGTCTATTGA